TTCTTGAGTTGTGCGACTCATCCCTCGGACGGTTCATGTGAGAGAGAAACTTTTACTGTGTCGCAACACTGCGATTTGGGTTTTATCTGTTACAGTAGTTGGTGCTACGTCATAACCTGGTGAGTGTTGGAAAAGCAAGAGGCGGATGGTGAAACGGAGGAGTAGAAGCATGTTCTGGTCCCGAGGCCCGGTCTTTTGTGTCCTTCACACACTCCAGGTTTGTGTCCGGGAGTAAGTTCTCCCATGTGTCCTCTCCCCTCATCATCCCCGCGGGTACGAATTCTTCTGGAGGAGCTGTCCAGCCAGGTGGCTGAGCCCTGCCCTCGAGCTTCACTTAGAGAACAGATCAGGCTTCACGGTCCTGAGACCTCTGACTCTCACCGCGGGACAGTCATCTGGTCACCCTCCTGTGGCAGATGCACGTGCCAGAGCTCCTCAGCCAAGAACACAGAAGCAGCAGGAAGAGACGGATGATAGGACGTTGGGAAGGACAGAGGCAGGGTAGCCGGGGTGGTCTCAGCACTGCGGACTTGGGAGCTATCTCCCCATGTGCCTGCCAGGCCCCACACCCGTCCTCCCTGTGGGGCCCCTCAACATCCAGCTTCCCAGGAGAGAGAGAGAGAGAGAGAGAGAGAGTCTGGTGGGCATGACTGAGGCCTGTGCCTGGAATGTGGGTGCTGATGACAGGACTGCTTCCCGCCAGCCTCCCACGCCACAGGAGAGGGACGACTCCTCAAAAGAGGTGATGCCCAGCCCAGACACAACAGGTTCCCTGGAACCCGCATAGCGGGGTCTTTCTTCCACAGACAGGAGGAAGCTGTCTGGAGCTTCTTGGGATCAGCAACTGTGGACTTGTCAGAAGCAAATGCGTTTTTATTTTAAAAGGTAACTATTATTGGGGGGAATGACCAAAATCTACCTGTCATCCTTGCCCTGGAGACATCCTGAACTGACATATACCTGGGCTTGGGGGAAGGGAATAAATTAGAAGCAGCGGGGACACCTGGCTGGCTGAGCTGGTGAAGTGGCTGCCTTTCAGCTTCGGGTCATGATCCCAGGGTCCTGGGATCGAGTCCTGCATTGGGCCCCTTGCTCAGCTGGGAACCTGCTTCTCTCTCTGCCTGCCTCTCCCCCTGCTTGGGCACGCATGGTCTCTCTGGCAAATAAATAAGTGAAACCTTAAAAAAAAAATTAGCAATGAGGGTGAGGGGCCTGGAGACATGGATTCTAATTTCACTACTACTTTTGACGAGTCATTTCATTATTTCATCACTCCAGTTTCCTCATTTAGAGAACAGGGTAATAAGACCTGCTCTAATTTACAGATTTTTTTTTTTTTTTTTTGAGGGGGGAAAACAAAGAGGAGAAAGGGAAGAAGGACAAAAATACCAAAAGCTCCTGAAAGGACTTTGATAAGCCGAAAATAAACACATAAGAGCCGCTGGTTAGTGACGCATCTGTTACAGGTTGAATTGTGTTTCCCCCAAATACATGTTGAGTCATAAGCCCCAGTCCCTCATTTGGAAAGAGGGTCTTGGAAGATGCAGTTAGTTGAGATGAGCTTGTACTAGAGTAGGGAGGCCCTTAGCCAATACAGCTGTGTCCTTAGAAGAGAAGAGATACAAATAGAGACGCACAGGGGACCACCGGGCAGAGACTGAAGTGTTGCCGCTGTAAGACAAGGAACACGAAGGACTGTCAGCCGTCTCACAAAGCTTGGGAGAGGCAAGAAAGATTCTCCCCTATGGGTTTCAGAGAGATAATGGCCCTGTTGAGCCCTTGATCTTGGGTTTCTAGCTTCGGGAGCTTGTGAGCTGGTCTGTTCCTGTAGCTTTAAGCCACCCCTTGTGGCACTGTTCATGGAAGCTCCAGGGAACTGGATACACATCCTTTAACGGATTCCCAAGGTGCAGGAAACCTTGGCCAAAGCTCTTGACCTACCACTGAGAGGTTTGTGACCTAGGATCAGACATGGGACACAGGACAAGGACCCGAGTTTCAGGGGTAACAGCACGGATATGAGGGTCACGAAGAGCAAAGGTCAGGTTTGGGAAGCCCACGGGGCTATGCCGGAGCCGAACCAGCAGAGTTTAGTCCACACGGATGGAAAGCATCACTTCTGCCTGGAGAGACAGCGCGCTCAGAGCAGAACTGGCTCTCAGCAGCCTCGGGCCTGCTCTCACTACCTGCCGGCACAGAGCCAGCACCGCCCTCATGCCCCAGGCCTCAGCACTCAGGCCCCAGGTCCGCAGGGACATGGAGGCACATGCAATCCATCAGAGGAGCCCGATGTGCGGAGATTGCGTTTAAGGAGGAAGCCTGCTGGGATGCTATGTGCCGGTGACCTCCCACACGGCTCTTGGGTGCTTGTTTTAGAGGCGTCATAAAGCTTTTTTGCTCTAGGCCCTTCTGCCCTGTGTGAGATTTGCCCATGCTGAGTGTGGGTCTGGTCTCTGGGTGATGAGTGTTTACACATACGCACTGTAGCTGTTGGATCCTCACAATAACCCATGAGGTGGTTACTGTTAACATGCCCATTTTACAGATGAAGGAACTCAGGGGCAGAGCTCCCATGACTGGTATCGAGAAGCCAGCCCAGGCCTGTACGACTCCGGAGACTGCGATGCTGACTGCTCTAGTATATTCCTTTGATAGTTTATTTGGATCAGGCTGTTCTGAATTAACTCTGGAAGTAATAATTTAGTAAAAAACAACAACAACAACAACAAAAAGAATGAACAAAACCAAAAAAGTGTGTGTGTGTATGTGTGAAGCTGGGATCACCATGACTTCATACTTAAAGGGTGAGGGGAGCTAACATGATGAGCTAAGTCCTTCCATCCAGGAAAACCCATAGCTCTGGGAGGTGGGCATCTCAGAGACATGAAGTCACTAGCCAAGGTCACCAGATTGATCCGGGCAGGGCACAAATGTGAATCCAGGTTCAAGTTCAAATGCAGACCTGGTGTGACTTCCATGACCTCTGTGCCAAAAGTGACAGCTGGGATCTGTCCTACCGATCGTAGAGTAACTCACTTAGTGCCTGGCACAAAATAGTTATGGCGATTGGGTTGAATTAAACCCAAATGAATCTAATGTTCATTAAGAGAGGATCTGATCAATAAAAGACACCGTGCAGATGTTCCAAGACGTCCCAAGAGCTGACTGTGCTGATGTGGAATCTGTTACATGAGCAGTTTAGAGACAAGACTGTGTAGCATCACCCCCCCCTTTTCCCCCCCAAATTTTTGTTTATTCATTTGAGGGAGAGGGAGCACATGAAAGTGAGAGCACGAGTAGGGGAAGCAGCAGAGGGAGAGGGAAGAGCAAACTCCTCAATGAGCAGAGAGCCCAGTGCGGAACTCGATCCCAGGACCCTGGGATCATGACCTGAGCTGAAGGCAGACGCTTAACTGACTGTGTCACCCTGGCACCCCTATGATTCCTTTTTTTGCAGGAAAAAAATAATTCCTTACCTATGGCTATCTCTGTGTATACAAAGTCTGCATAAAACAACTTCAAATTAATAATAATGCTTATCTTTGGGGGTTAGGATCATTGAGGACTTTCACTTACTTTTTAATAAGAAAATCCTTGAAGATACTTGCATTTTGCAAAAAGCAAGAGCAAAAGGAAGGAAAAGAAAGTCATGTTGTTCCTGGTGACAATAGATCCCCCCAGAATAGATCTCACCATCCCACCGGGATGCAACTTGGACCTGGATTTACCATGTCAGCTCCCTCAGGATGGGCCCTGTGGCCCCATAGGAGAAAAGGGTTCATTCAGAGCACCTCTCTCCCCGTACTCTCTCCTTGCGCAGTCTGAAATATTTTCATTTACAACAAACTTAAGAGCACACAACCAGGAACCAGGATTCCTTGGGACTAGGCCTGGAACATCTTTTCATATTGGGGTCAAGTCAAAAGTTCACAGAAACTACCTTGAAGGGCCACCTTCTGGCTAAGTGTGGGGTGCTTTGAATATTGAAAAGACTACAGTAAATTGAAACACACTCACTTTTCTGAAAGCTGGTAAATAAAGGGAAAAAGCCAAGTAAGCTTGACTTTCCTGTATGAACTATACCTAATAGTAAGCAAATAGTTGATGAACACATTTTTTTTTTTTAACAGAACAACTCTGGCAAAAAACAAACAAACAAACAAACAAAAAAACCCCCAAAAAACCCAGGAGGAAAAAAATAGAATTAGGAAAAAAATCTCTTGTTTTGCAGCCCTAATGACAGCATGGATCTCGGCAGTGATAATTAGTGGTTGCTGAAATCTTTGGGTGAAATGCTGAAGGAAATTGGTCGAAGGAAATTGGTCCTGGATGGATGCGTGAGCCCAAGAGCTCCCGAACCCACACATCAGTCCTAACCTTGTGGGTAAAGAGGCTCCAGGCATGATCTGCCTCCTGATGGGCTGCTAGGGAATGTGCCCAGCACCGTGGATGAAATATTATTGCCACAAAATCAAGCTCTAGAGCCCACTGCCATTTTGTAGGCAAGATGGACTCAGAGAACCACATCGCCGGACATCTCAGGCTTTCAACCTGCAAAACTCAGAATGCAGTCGACTAGAGACAGTTCAAATTTGAATTTTACTTGCATCCCGATACACACACGTCACCGATAAAAATCACCCAATGTTTTCCAGACAATGGGGAACATCTGAACACCGATTGCCTATTTAAGACTATTACAAGGATTTATGGATAAATCTTGGATGTGAGGATTTATGATGGGATGCCAGGAATTTGCTTCAGAATAATGCAGGCAGGTGGGCTGGGGAAAGGAGGGGTGGCGGGTACTGATAAAACAGGCCTGTCCACGTACAGGTCATCTCTGTGTATAATCTCTGCTTGTGTACATGTCTGGAGATTTCCAAAAGGAAATGTTAGCAACAATAAAAAGTATGGGCATACAACTTAATGTTTCTATCATGATGGTGGTGGAGGTGGGTGCACGCGGGTGTGAAGTGTGTCAGAGTGTGTGTGTGTGTGTGTGTGTGTGTGTGTATGTTCATATGCTCTTTGTGGACCTAATTCAAGTTGCAGCTCTAGAACTGTACCTTCCTGAAAATGACTTTTTGACCATTGTGAAGGGTGCCCCAACCTAACGGGCGTAGCTGGATTTCCAAGGGGTGTCGGGAAGGCAGGCAGGCACAGGCAAAAGGCTGTGACTTAGGGGACTGCCGGGGCCAGCCCAACGCGGTTATTCCCACGATCAAAGACCGAGTAAAACTGCCGAATGAAGACATCTCCCAGGATCCAGAGGGGCCCAGCGGGAGGCTGGATATCGAGCCCTTGAAAGCCGCTGCTGCAGAACTCCATTCCATCCACAAAGTCCTGGGGTGGGAAAGAAGGTGTAAGTGACGTAGAGAGAGAAAAGGGAAGTACGAGGGCTGTACTGTGTGGTAGTGGTAGTGACTATACCAAATGGCCATGGACAGTCACAGTGTTGGCTCATTTTGATCTTCCTCCTGCTCTACATCCCTCCACTTGTTTGCTCAGCAAAGTGTCTGCACAGTCTTGTATATGTGGACCTGGGCTTCTAAGTTCTACAATTCTTAGAATTGTTCACCTCTCATACATGCCCCCTGCCTCCCACTTTACAACTGGAAAAAGTGAAACCTTGTTGCATGACTGCAAGAGCAAAAGGGATGGCTTTAAAAGGTCTTGGCTTAAATTCTGGTTTCTTTAGTTTCTAGTGAAGCTCAACTTCGTTTTTTAAGGAGAGAAATTACATAGCTGTTTTCTTGATGTTCTGGGGAAGAACAAGGCAGTGTCCTGGAAGAACATCCAGTGTCCTGTGGAAAGAGTGTTACTTCCCCCAAACTTACTTTTCAGTTTGGCGAAGACTTGGGGTCTACTAGGCAGGTGTGGTCTTTCCAACAACTGTTTGAGATTTGAGGTTGCTGATGAGTGTCTGGGAAGTTTACAGAGGCCTTAACACACCTTCTGGAGAGGAAGGGGATGACCACGCAATGCTGTTACAGGATCCTTGGCTGACGGAGGGGGCTCTGATTGAAATCTGCTGGCAGGAAAGGACAAGGGCACCACGCTGGGCAATGGGAAGGAAGTGCGGTGGGCAGCGACTCACATAGGGTGCAGGTGGGAGAGTATGGGGGTAATGGGGGGGGCAGTGGATATATAGGCTGATGAGCTTGGCACAGCTAGCGTCTAGCTTGTCCCCAGTGTGGTGTTCATAGTGGCATCTCCAGAATCCCTTTGTCGGAGAAGCTTAGGGGGCTTGACATGAAGCTGTGTTTTAAAGCAAAAATTTGTTTTCTTAGTAGTGCAATTGCTGGATCATAGGGTAGTCCTATCTGAGGACCCTCCATAGTGTTTTCTAGAGTGGCTGCACCAGTTTGCAATCCCATCATCAGGGCAAGAGTGTTCCCTTTTCTCCACATCCTCTCCAATACCTGTTGTTTCTTGCCTTGTTGATTTTAGCCATTCTGGTATGTGTGAGGTAACATCGCATTGTGGTTTTGATTTGCATTTCCCTGATGATCCGTGATGTTGAGCATCTTTTCCTGTGTCTGTTGGCCGACTGGATGTCTTCTTTGAAGAAATGTCTACTTGTGCCTCCTGCCCATTTTTATTTGAATTATTTGTTTTTTGGGTGTTGAGTTTTATAAGTTCTTTATGTATTTTGGATACTAACCCTTTATTGGATACATCATTTGGAAATATTTTCTCCCATTCTGTAGACTGCCTTTTAGTTTTATTGATTGTTTCCTTTACCATGCAGAAAACTTTTACTTTGATGAGTTTCCAATAGTTTATTTTTGGGTTTTTTTTTTCCCCCTTTGCCTCAGGAGACGTATCTAGAAAGAAGTTGCTGTGGCCAGTGTTAAAGAGGTTATTGTCTGTGTTCTCTTCTAGGATTTTTATGCAACTGCACTAAGTATCCAAAGCATACAAAAATACTAATTCAAAGAGATACATGCCCCCCAATGTTTACAGCAGCATTTTCCACAATAGACAATAGCCAAGTTGCAGAAATAGCCCAAGTGTCCACAGACTGATGAATGGATAAAGAAAATGTGGGATACACACACACACACACACACACACACACATATGTATATATATACACATATATATATATAGATGAATATTACTCAGTCATAAAAAGAATGAAGTCTTGCCATTTGCGATGTTGTGGATGGAGCTAGAGGGTATAGTGCCAAGCGAAGTCAGTCAGAGAAAGACAATTATGATATGATCACATTCACTTGTGGAATTTAAGAAAGAAAACAAATGAGCAAAGAGGAAAGGAGAGAGAGAAAGAGAGGTGAACTAAGAAACAGACTATTAACTACGGAGAACACACGGATGGTTACCTGAGGGGAGTTGGGTGGGGGGATGGGTGAGCCAGGTGATGAGGATGAAGGGGGGCACTTGTGTTGACTACTGGGTGGTATGGAAATGGTGAGCCGCCATATTGTACGCCTGGAACTAATATTGCCCTGTATGTCAACTAACTGGCATTTAAATAAAAACTTTAAAAGAACATTTGTTTTCACTTGCACTGTCTGTTTATGCTTGGCGGCTTGGGGAAGGGGTTAATGGAGATCAAGGTGTGGCGGGGTAGTTAAGTCCCTAAAGTCCTCTACACCTTAGTACCTCCATTCTGATGCAATCACCCTGGGGCTGTGGGTGACTCTCCGGTAAAGTCAGCCTGTTGAGTGTCACCAAAGGACCGCATGTGAATTGAAAATCTGGGCCAACTGTGGTGTGAAGCGATCACAGTTTTCCCCCAAGAATTCCCTTTCTGGGGAATTCTACCTCACCTTACAAACTTAGGAATCTACTGCAATGAAAAACACTTTCTTGTCTGAGGAGAATGGTCATCTGAACGTGATTACAACCTCATTCTGTCCCTCCTTCCCAAGTAGCTCATATCTTGAGCCTCCTAACTTTCTGGGACCCGATATCCTCATCCACAGAACGGGATAATAATATCCAATCCTACTGGGTGTTTGAGGGACTAAACTTTTGTCCGTTGAAAAGTCTACAATCCTGTCAGAAAACGTCACTAAATGGCTTGTCCAAGGTTTGCTCCTGCTTCGTGGCAGGACGGGAACTGAGAGAGAACCAGCCTGGCCACCATCTTTCCACCACAGACAGCTCTGTCCTTTCTGGAGGGAACGCCCCTTCAGTGCAGGAGAAGATGGGAGCGGGGCTCGGCGTAAATGCAGCCTTTTCAGGGGACTGAAAAGAGGAAGTGGTGGGCTGGTGGGGGAGGCCCTATGACTTGCAGAATGAGGAAACAGTTCTTACCAGCAGGGTATAGGCGGTTGGTTGGAGGGTATAGGAGATGCCATTGATGGTGAAGGTGACATCCGGCATGACGTTGAGGTTGGCACACTCCACCCCATACTATAACACAACACAGAGGATCCATTTAGAGGCCTTCCCCCTCTCCCGCTCCCGCCTCTTCCCTACCCAGCAGGCACGGACTTCTCCATCCATGGGTTCTGCCCCAATGGCCTTCTGCAGCTGCTTGATTTTGTCTGAGGGGCCTGTGATGAGGGAAGTCCCCGTGTCCACGATGGCCTGGCAGCCCTCGGAGCAGAACATCACCGTACCTCCCACCTGGATTCTGAGGACAAAAGAAATGTCATCAGCCAACCCTTCACCCCTGTCTCCACCCCATCAGTCCCCCTTCCCCTCGGCCCTGGAGTTCCCCAGGCTCCCTATCGGCTCTCACCCTCTGCCGGGCTCTCAAACATACAGTAATGATACCTAGTCTGATGGTCTCACCCACCAATATTTGTCAGTTTTTCTGTGACTGAGATCCATAACAGGAAATACATTTACTTTTAGACCCTGTACACATACACACACACACAATATAAAAATTTCACGAAATAGGGCTTAACCTTAGTATGTGAAGCGCACTCTGATATCTTCTATTTTATTCCATCTCATTAAAAATGTACGTCATGACCCCCTAAAATGAGACCATGACCCATAAGTGGGTTAACCCCGCTGGCTTGAAAAACCCTCAGCAGACAGTGAGCCCCGAGGCTTTCCGCTGTTCTGCTCCCCGTGGCTAGCACAGGCTCTCACCTCGCAGAAACGTGTCCTTGGCAGAATTGAAGCGTGAATTGCATTTCTTTAAATTCCTGCATTATCTGACACAGGGCTCGGTATGTGACGGGCATCTGGTCCCACGTCCCTGATTGTTCCATGCCGCCCCCCACCCACACACAATGTCTGCATGTATGTAGGTCAAGGTCCAGCCCGGGTCACCTCCTCCGGGAAACCCCTGCTTGAGCAGAATGGGAGCTGTCCCGCCCCGTCTGCTGGGCCACTTTGGTGGTCTTTCAGACCACTGACCGTCCATTTCACGATGGTAGTGGGACGTGTGTGTGTGTGTGTGTGTGTGTGTGTGTGTGTGTGTGTATGATCTTCCAGACATACTTCGTGGAGGCGAAATCTGAGTCTGGTTCACTCCTGCACCCCGTGTCACCCACCCCTGGCCCTGTGTGTGAATTAATGTGAAACGAGCCTCAGGTAATTGGCAGAGGGTCTGTATTTATTGTGTTGACTTGAGGGCGCAGCATGTGGACCAGGAGCGAAGCTGAGACGTGGTACTGCATGCCTACTGCCCTGGCAACCGTGGCCCCCTCCTGCACCTCCACATTTCCAGCCTCACGTGGCGAGCGCCCCGCCCCCCTACCGCCCCGGCTCCTCTCCTGGGGACCAACACGCTGATTCAGGTCAACTCACTGAACCCGATTTGCCTTGTGCCCGTCTTGAGTTCTTGCCTCGTACCATAACTACGTTGGGGAGAATACTCACGCATCCAGGGCAATCTGCCAGTAGCCTTGCTTGGTGACAGGGACCCAGTTCAGATTCCCAGAAAAATGGGAGTGGTCATAGCCTCCGAAAATGAGTTCGCTCCCCGCACCGCCTTCTGGGTCACTACACGGAAAGAAAGGCAGATCGTCCGGGAAGGACCGCTGGGATACCGTAGGAACAAGCTGGTCGCCTACCTCAAGCATCTAGACAGGCAGAAATATCAGCCCGGGCTTTGAGATCAGGGCTCCTGATTACTGCAAATTGATTAATCTGGGCCTTTTTGAGCAAAAGGATGGAAGTATAGAAATAGCTCTGCCTGATCGTTTGTGAACTTCTTCTCGCTTTTTTGATAAAAGGGCAAGGGAGGAAGTAGATGGGGACAGCTGCTCAGTCATGCAGAACCGAGGCTAGGACCACTGGGGTGTGCACACACCACGTGACTTATGTGCCTCCCCCCAAGCCTTTTCCCCTAAGTATCTTTCCCACTTTTGGTTTGATGGTGCCTGGAGTTTCCGTATGACTCATCCCAGCGTCCCAAGGTAAGGAAGCCTTAATGGGAATGCAACATGACTTACTAGAGCTGGAAAATTTATTTACTTTCCTTGGTGCTGCTTTTTCAGACTATAATCTGGCACCTAACAGGATTCTGGGAAAAGAGGACATGAAACTGATTCATTTTTAGGAGGAAAAGGATCCGAAAAATACAAAACTCAGGGCGCTGCGAGGCTCCATGGTAAAGGGTAAAGGAACCAGGTATTTCGGGCATCGAAGGAAAGCAGATTTAGGGAGGTGGGGGTAAGGATTCCCGTTTGTTGGCGGTCTTTGTGCAGGGCCCTGGGTGGAGAATTTTACCTGCTTCATCCTATTTATTTCGTACATCAACCTCGTGTCCGTCTGAGGAACCTGAGACTCGGGGCTTCAGTCCAGGTCAGCCAGACCGCAAAGGCTTTGCTCTTTCCCATCCTCCCCCGTCTTTCCGGGCTGGAAGGGAGCAGGAAACTCTGCAGGGGGGGGCAGCAGAGGGGTCTGGGCAAACTGCCCTCTTGCTCCCAGGTCTGCCCGGGCTGGGCCCAACTTCAGCCATGCAGTTTAATAAAGGAAATTCAAGACTCTCCGCGTGGAAGTGGAGAACAAGGGACCGGGGCTTATGAGAAACCAGGGTGAGCTGAGGCCAGATCACACAGGGGAGGAGTCGGAAAGGTCAGAAATCTCGGTCCTGCATAGGGATAAAGGTGAGATGACCCTTTCAGGATCCCAGGCAGGAGTGGCCACAATCCTTTAATGAACTTCTCATTAAACAGCAACTTCCTATTCCCCCTCCCCCCACACCTGGCAACCACCATTCTCCTGTCTCTGTGAATGTGAGACTCCGGATAGCCTCCTGTAAGTGAAATCAAAGGGTATTTGTCCTCTTGTGACTGGCTTGTTTCACTTAAGGTCCTCACGGTTCATCCTCTGGTAGCTTGTGGTAGAATTTCCTTCCTTTTTCAGGCTGAATAATAGTCTATACTAAATAAATTCTGCATCTTATTATGCCCTTAACAACCCATTATTTTATCATCAGCTTCCTTTTGAATTTTTTCCGCCTCCTCCCATTGGAATCCAGCTTCCCGAGGGCAGGGACTGGCTTCCTGGTCTCACGGTGCTCCCGCTGCCTGGCACCGTGGTCGGCACGTAATAGGGACTTGATAAGTACTTATTCACTGCACAAACAAAGAGCCAACCCCAGAGATTCCTCCCACTGGCTCAGTGCACTACAGTCTACAAAGTAAGGCGAGCCCCTTTTCTTCAATGCCCAGAGAGGGCAAGCCCAAGGTCACGCAGCTGGTAATAGGTGAAGCAAGGGACCCACGCCAGGTGTCTGACTGCTAAGGCTGATGCTCCCGTGGCTGCACCATGTTCTCTCCCTGGGGTTGTCACTGACCTTCACTTTGGTGGGCTTGACGGGCCTACCTGCTCATGTACACGGAAAACATGGGTATATCCACCAGGTTCTGCGCCATCATGTTGTCGAACACCGGGGTCACCCCTCCCACAGCCAAGGAGGGGTAGCCCAGGCCCAGAATGCCATCAAACTCTGCGTTCACAAAGGTCTGGCCGGGCTCTGTGACACTCTCTCCAAATTGCTGGTCGACCACCACCAGTCCTTCCACCTGACGGGAGAGCGCCCGAAAGAAAACTGCACGGGACGTCTCTGGCACAGAGTCTCAGGTTCCCGGATTCTCCCTCTGGTCTGAAGTGAATTCTTCCCCCACCCAGCTTCCCTTGATTACATGAGCCCAGTGGTTTCACCACGTTCCCACACCCTCAATGTTCTTTATGTAAACTATTTTTTTTTTTAATTGAAGTTTAGGGGCGCCTGGGTGCCTCAGTGGGTTAAGCCTCTGCCTTCGGCTCAGGTCATGATCCCAGGGTCCTGGGATTGAGCCCCGCATAGGGCTCTCTGCTCAGTGGGGAGTCTGCGTCCCCCCACTTTCTGCCTCTCTCTGTGTACTTGTAATCTCTCTCTCTCAAGTAAATAAAATCTTTTTAAAAAAATGGAAGTTTAATGCAGAAATCCTAAGTGTACAGTTGGGTGAGTTTTCACAAACTCACCCTGGTCAGCGAGCTCCCAGACCTGAAGCCGCTTCAGGCACGCTGCTAATTGGTTGTACTTTTCCTCAAAAACACCCGTCTGCTGGCTTCCAGGTACTATGTTGTAATCTCGTTCACTGTCAGAATTTGGGTTGTTTCCTGTCTAGACTATGGCTAACAGTGCTGCCTGGACATGTCCTCTGGTGGACACGCACGCAGACTTCTGTTGGACATATCCATGCCTAGAGGTAAAACATCTATAGTGTATTGGAAGTTTGATAACGTGTGAGGTCAGAGTCAAGATTTTTTTTTTAACTTTAATTTTAGTTTAATTTAACTATGTGGCTATCCAAAGGACCTTGCACGTATTTAATAAATACACTCTCATTTCCTCCCCTGCAGTTTTCATGGTCAACAGAATTCAGAGTAGTTTCTGAATCTTCCATTTTGTTCCTTTTGTCCATTGGCTTATCTTGGGCCAATACCACACTGCCTCAATCACTACAGCTTTAAAGTAGGCCTTGATATTTGTAGTGTTCTCCTTCATCTAGATTGTCTTGGTGTATTATGTATCCACATACATTTTAGAATTAGCTCATCAATTTCTAGTAAAAATCGCTATTGTTCTGATTGAGGTGACATTAAACATATAGGTGGATTTGAAAAAATTTGACTTGTCTATAATACTGGGTCATGAAATACTGAGTCATTTTCAATTTATGTAGGTCTTCCTTAATTTCACTCACTAATGTTTTGCAGTTTTTAGAGTGAAGATCTTGCACTTTTTTTGGTTAAGTTTACTTGTAGGTATTTGATGTTTCTGATGTAATCACAAATGTCTCTGAAATCTATTTTCCATTTGTTTTTCCTGATATTCAGAAATAGAAATGATTTTGTTAATCTAGTATTCAGCAATTTTGCTAAATAATTATTAAACCCAAAGGGTCTGTACATGTTTTTGGACTTTTTACATATAGCATCTTGTCATATATGAATAATGACAATATAGTTTCTTCCTTTACAATCTTAATGCCCCTAGTTTCTATTTTCTTGCCTTACTGCACTGAGAGCATCTTTGACTCATTCTTCTTTTCTTCTTCTCCTTCTTCATTCTTCCCTCTCTTTCTTCCCTCTCATTCCTCCCTCTCCTTCCTTCCTCTCCTTCCTCCTTCTTGCCTTAACTCATTCCCTGTGCACCGTTTCTCTGTGGAATCCGTCCGTGCTGCCACTCTCGAATCCAGCACCCTGAGCAGACTGGCCCGCCGCCATGATGTCAAACAGGAAGGGCTACTCCCGCCTGGCGGGGCTTCTCCCTTTCCCTGGAAGCCAATTCCTTGTTTCCACCTCTTCCTGAGGCTGATCTGAATGTGTTCCCCTAATGGCTCTGAAGAATATTCTGTTTCCCAAGCTTCTGTCCAAAAGAGAAGAGATGAAGGAATTGTACTCACATTGACTTGGTCAGCTCCGAGGATTCCAGACAAGCTCCCGGTCCCATACTGAATGGAGAAATGACTCCCCACTGTGCTGTATGTGCTGGACTGGGAAGGGTAGAACCTGGTGTGTGTCTCTGGGAAAGCAAGGATGCTGCTGTTGCCTGGGCTGCCAGCTCACTCCCTTCTTCCTGCCCTGATACCCCACAGATGCAAGCTCTCTTCCCTCAACTCCCGAGATGGAGTGGCGGCCTCTAGAAAGGTTGGCTAATGGCCCACCTTAGTGAGTTACTTTAGGCCACATGTGGTGGCCTAATCAGGGACCAACTAGTCATCTCTGGGCAAACATGACCACCCACAGTGACCTCATGAGGCACACCAAGATAAATGTCCTATATCAGATGCCAGCAGAAGTCTCTGTCGACTAGTGTGGTTCCAAGCCTGGCATTTAAAAGAAACCCAGGGGTAAACAAACCCCATTCCAGGCAACGACTCTCAACTCCTTGCTTAGCCCGCAGACATCTAATCCTGAGGTTTTCCGAGACATCCTGTCTCTAAAACTTATCCAGAACAGACTCGGGCATCTGTCTTTAGCTCTACCCTTTGCTAACAAAGATGCCTGAGTTACCTCTGGGGCAATGGACCCACCCCTATATTGTGCCCCATCAGTCACACCTCTGATATACCGGGATGGGCCACCAAACCCTCTTGAAGCAGGTGAATAGGCAGCCTTGGAACCCAGCCCACCTACCCGCCCAGAAACAGCCATTTGAATGGAACTCTCCCTACCCCTAACATTGTTTGGGGTGTTCCAAAGAGAGTGAGTCATTGTGTATTCAAAGATTTGTACTGAGTTTGTATTTTTAGTGGCTGAGTTTTCTCCTATTAATTCTGATCTGTATGAAAGTTGCTAGCTTGGCTAGCAGTCAAATTGTAGCTCTCTCCCTGGCCCAGCACCGTTTCTACCATAGGCACTCCCAGGGCAGACTCGAGGTGGAGAGGGGAAGGTGGTGTGGCATGCACCAGTTTCTGGACGTCGAGGCGCCCTCCCCCAGAGTGCCAGACCCCAGCTGCCATTCCCTGCTTACTCAAGGGCCCCACTTACTGCAGGCTGGGCTGGTGCAGTACACAGAGGGGACCCAGAGGTTGGAGGAGCCAGTGTCGAAGATGACTGTGAAGTTTTGCGGCGGAGAGCCCACGGAGATGGTGCCGAAGTATTCCATCTACAGGGGAGGGGGGAAGGGAGCAGAGGGTGGGGGGTGGGAAAGGGGGAAGGTGCTCACCAGGAGACCTTGGGAGAGCTCTCTGGGACCAGAGCCTGGGTTAGCAGGGACTGGAGCTTACAGAGCCTGGGGAGTGGCAACAGAAGGTACAAAGAGCAGACACAGGGGAAATCAAATCTCCTGTATTTCTTTAGCTCTCATTTGCATTACTTCTCTTAATTGCTTTGCGAGCAAGACAGAGGACTTGTAATGCCTTTGTTCTACAATCAGGGAGCGGAAGCTTGTGAAAGTTAAATCATTTGGCCAAGGACACAGAACAGGACCCTTCTGTTTGGGAGACCTTTTCTTCTGCAGAGAGCTCTGCCCATTTGGACGCATCGGGGCTTGCTCGGTCATGTCCACGGGGACCCAGGGGATCGGTCCCTATGGGTTATCCTAGAAGAGAAATCCTCCCTGGCCTTCAGTGTCACTGACCTGACACTGGCCATGCCCAGAGGCCAAGCCATCCTCCCCTCTCCCCCTTCCCAACCCCCTTCCCCAGGAGTGCCTCACATCCAAGTAGTTGATGAGGGGCTCGCTGGCATCCTGGTTCATCGTGCAGGACTCAGTGAACTGGATCATATCCAAATTCTGGGATTTCCAGAACTCAGAGAGCTGGCCCCGTGCCCGCAGCTTCTTCCGGAGGGACTGTCGCCTCCTGAGGGGCACCCTGAGGACAGAGCCCGTGTGAGACACAGGTGCAGCTCTGCCTCAGACCCTCCCCTCTCCCCACCCCATTCTTCCAGAGGTCAACTGGGAAATTACACAGCAGGAGATCTGCAAGGCAGCAGAGTTGCCAGAATTGGCCACAGTTTGGCCAGAATTCGTGCCCTCTCTGCCCCCGGCCTATCAGTCTTGTCTCTGCTCCTGAAGAGGCTTAGAACCTTAGACTTGAAGTGGCCCTCCCTCTCAGAGATGAGCTCTTTGAGGTCATCTAGGAAAATGGTCCGCAGTTGTGTGTGAACCTCATAAAGGATTGATTTAAAGGGAGAGAAAGACTCCTGGGGGCAGCCACAGTCATTCCCTTGGGGACATGCTCGGTCCTCCGAGCCCCCAACCACAGCTGCAGGCTCCTGATCTCCACTAGTGTGAGAAGCTCCCTGGGGCTTCGCCAGGGAGTTCCGTCAGAGGTCGGGGCAGAGGGATGGTTTGTCATAGGCTGGAGGTCAAGGCCAACACAAGACGGCCGCTTTCCCCAGCCCTTCGTTCTCCTCTTTATTTCCCCGTCAGCTTTCCTCTCCCAGGGCAGCCCTAAGCTCGAGGGCAGGCAGCGGTGCCCGCTGGACGGGGTTGGGGGACGGGGTCTGGGGACAGGGTGCTGGGGACGTGGCCTCACCTGTGGAGCTGCTGTTGAGCCAGCCCCAAGTCCAAGAGCACCAGCAGCAAAAGAACGAGTGTCTTCATCATGGGCCCTGCCGGCAGCTTCTTCCTTGCTCTGCCGCGGCCTTCCCCGGTCCCTCTCCTTTCCTCTCTCCCGCAAGCCAGCGGGGACGAATTGCCCGAAGTCTCGGATCTGATCTGCCCTGCCCAGCCCAGCCTGAGGACCCAATGATAAGGCCTCTTGCGTCAATGGCCAGGCCCAGAACAAACAGAGCGAGCAGGACCGGGCGTTTCCCTTCCTCCCCTCAGCCCCCCTTTCCCTCCTGCAGGGGCAGGGGCGCGGGCTCTCTGGGGTAGGACTTGGGGGTCTGCGCACCCTCTAAGAGAAGGACGGCGGCGCAGGTTCAACTTCTCCCAGAAGTTTGGGTGTCCTCTCCTGGTCCCTAGAAACCCTCTGATTATGACTTGAGAGAGCCCTGTGCCCGGACACCGGGACCCCTCCGCTCACGTGTCACCATGAGTGGTCTGGCTGAGGACCAGTTTGGAAGCCTGGTCGTTACCTGTGGGACAGGTTCTAACTCAGAATACCATCAATCAGGTTGTTTTCCCTCGTCTCTCCGCATTCCCTCAGGAGCCTCAAGGGCAGTTGACCCCCCCTCCGTCCACTCTGAGGCAGAGACTAGTGCTCCTCAAAGCCTCTGACGTGGGAGACTGGGCTGTGAAGCTAGTTTTTTGCATCTCAAAGACTTGATGAACGTGGGACTGCGTTGTGGAGGGAGGTTTGGAGAACACAGAGGCAGCCCTGGGCTGGGGGTGGGGGTGGGGAGGTACAGCTCATGGTGGGGTGGGGGGAATGATTCTGGAGCGGGTGCCTGTATTTGTTTGCTGGGGCTGCCATAAGGACTTACCACAGATTGGGTGGCTTAACAGAAAGTTATTTTCTCGGGATTCTGGAAGCTAGAAGTCCAAGATGAAGGTACGGACAGGATTTGGTTTCTCCTGAGGCCTCTTTCCTTGACTTGTAGGGATGGCTGCCTTCCCTCTTCCTCTGAATGTGTCCGCGTCTTGATCTCCTGTCCTTATATGTCATGTTGGACTGGGGCCCACCGTAAAGACCCCATTCCAACCTAATTACTCTTCGGAGGCCTGATATCTCCATACAGTCACATTCCGAGGTACTGGAGGTTAAGACCTCAACATAAGAGTTTTGGGGGCTACAGTTCAGTGCGTAACAGTGTCCAGATACAGCAGGAGCCTCGGTCTGTTCCTGGAGTAGGGGGCAGTGGGGGCTCAGCATGATTAGCTATTGCTATCCCAGCCTGATGAGCTACTGCTAGGAACCCATCTCTATGGCCATTCCACTTCCTAAACAGAGGCAGGGCTTTATCGCCTTGAGTGAGGATGGAGGGTGGTGGGGAGGAGCACCCTCGCCTGACCAGGACCCAGATCCAGGTTTATGGGACACTCTGAACCCAGGCCGTCGAGGCTCCGGAGTGAAGGCCGAGAACCAGGGTTGGGTCAGCTTTGCTCCGAAGAGCCAGCGATCTCCACAGTGTTTTAGCTGCCGCCACGGCTCTGCTTTCCATCTGCGGAGCCCCAGCCGCAGACAGACTTGGAGTTTGCAGCTAAGCAGAGTGCTGCCTTGAGCTCAAAAATGTTTAGGAGGACATCAAAGGGACTTAGGGAACAGCCTGGACCCTTGAAGTGCTGACCCCAAAGGCACGAAGCCTCTGCAACATTTGCCCACTTGACAGTTGGCTTTGACCTTCACTGGGGACGGACGCCTACCTCCAGGAGGGCAGCCTGAGCCAGAAGAGGCTAGACGTTGAGATAAGCCACTGTGACATTTTGCTCTGTCATGGTTTGCCCATGATTGCCCGACCGCTACGTCCCTACGTCCCTTAGATCTCTTACCTGCCAAATGGCCTACATACATCGCTGAGTTTTAAGGAGGATTAAAAATACAACATATGGCACATGGAAGCACTTGAAAAACTGTACTGTGTCACCCGACTGAAGATCTTCACTATAAAATCCTTGCACTGGGAGACTTCTTCTTGCCATTAGGGCAAGGCCACTTACATAACAGATGAGGACACTGAGGCAGAGAGAGGCAGAGTGACAGCCCCAGGAGCCCCTGATCCCTTTAGTGGCAGGGCTAGGTTTGGGACCCAGGCCTCCTCCTTCCCAGTCCGAGGATCTTCCCACTACGGGTGGGGCCACAGAATCTGGCTGGGTTTCAGAAAATCTGACGCGGGTTCGAGGCAGGAGGATGGAGACCTCTGTCAGAACGAATGGGTTCTTTTCTCTCTGGAAATGACAGAAAGCTCGCCTCCTCTGGTGGCAGATGAGGGAAGCCTCTCGGGCTGGAACCAAATATCACTGCGGATGATTTGGGAATAAAAGCCCTTGGGGGGCTCATGGGTGACTCAGTCGGTTAAGCGTCAGACTCTTGATCTTGGTTCAGGGCTTGATCTCAGTCAGGGTCATGGGTTCAAGTGGTGTGTTGGGCTCCTGCTGGGTGTGGAGCATATTTAAAAAAAAAAAAAAAGCCCTTGGATATGTGCCTGTTGTGGTGTCTGTGTGTATGTCCTTTAAGAAGAGAGAGGGAAAAGCCTTCGGTACCATGTGGGCAAAAACAGGCCATAGTATGAGCAATGATCCTGTCCTTCAGCTCTGGGAGAAGGTCTTTGGAAAGAGAGATTCTCAGGCATGTGGGTTGGAGGCTGGTCAGATGCAGAGCTTTTGTCTGTTTCCAGAACATTTGAAAGCTCTTGGTGTGACACCGTCCAATCAACTTCTCGTTTCTGGAGCTTCAGCTTCAGAAGATAAATAAGTAATAAGAGGACGGTTACTCAGCGCTCTGTGGAAAGCCGCTTCATCAGGGCTCCGGAGACAGAGTGTGTCCGTGTAAGAACACAAGCAGCTGCTTCTCCGTCATGCTCGGCTGGCTCCTGATGGCAGGGCAGCTAGGAATCCGCGATGCTCGGGGCTCTGGCTCTGGCAACATGGCACGCTCAGCACGAATGTGACCAACTAGAAAATGTCCCAACCTCATTTCTGCTCGAAGCTGATAAATGAAGGAAAGTCAACAATGCTTTGCGTGGTACAGTAGAAAGAGGGCTGGGCTGGGATGCCTGGGTCTAGTCTTGGCTCTGCCACTAACTGGCCATATGACCAAAATCACTTTTCTCTGAATCTAGTTTCCTTGTCTCTACCATGAAGAAGGTGGACAACAAGGAACATTTTGAGGACACAGACTAACTGCCAGGCTCTGAGCTAAGGACCTTGGGAGCATTAGCTCATTCTATGTCTATACCGACCCTAGCCAGTAGATATTATTTTAAAGCCCACTTTATAGATGAGATAACTGAAGCACAGAGAGTTTAAGCAACTTGCATAAGGTGCTGTAATCAGCATTCAAAACCAGGTTTGTCTGACTTCAAAGTTGATGATCTGTACTGGGTGATCTTGAGGGTCTGATGTTCGAGAATTTCTTCCTGTAAGAGAAAGACCAAGAGAGAGGCTGGGAGGGAGGAGGAGGGGGGAAAAAGAGGAGAGAAAATAATTTTCTGCCTAATGGAAAATTTGACTTTTAACTGTAAGAAGAGAGAAGGGTGTGTGCAGGGTGGCGGGGCGGTGGGGTGGTGAGGCGCTGTGTAATGAGAAATTTTGTCATTGTTTCTTTTTGGCAAATATCTCCTATTTTGCTTTCAAGAAGCCTCTGAGCAAGGATCATTACTGTACTGCTGACAGGTGCAGAAATCCCCCCATCCCCCCTCTGCTAGTTACCGCTGACCCAGACAATGACTTCTGAAAACTAAAATTTAAGGTGATTTTTTGCTTGTTGCTGTAAGAGAGCTCCCAACACAAAGGTGTTCTTTCCCCAGTGGTGCCATCTGATTCGGTTTGGCAAAGCCTCTTGTTTTCATGCAACTGGAAAAAAGAAGGATCGGATGTCTCCAGCACCTTGCCATGTCAAGAATTCAGTTCGTGTGAGTCATTTCCAAAACCGCTGTCAACCCTATTCTGGGAAAGGGCCTCTCAGACCAGAAATGATTGCCATATGCCCTGCAGAGGACACAGGCACTGGGGCGTTTCTCGCTTGAACACTGCCCGTGTGCGCATGTGCACTTGTCCCTATACCTGTGAACAGGAGGGACAGTTCCTGCCGCGGGCTTGGTGCAGGGTGGGACGGCATGCTGAAGGGGTCTGTTTCTCTGCTTGTTCCCGAGCCCAGGCTTTGGAAACAGACGAAGCAGGATCCGGGGGATGTGTGGTATTGGCATTGCTCAGGGTCATCGGATTGCTCTGCGGTAGAAGAGGAAGGATTTCCTTGCAGACTGCGGTGAGGATTCTGTGGGACCATCCTCAGGAAGAAGGCTTTCCAGGTGTCTCTCAGCCCAGGGCTTGACACCCAGTTAGCACTTAGTGCTAGGGCCCTGGCTACACCATACGGACCAGGACAGGTGCTGGGCCTGGACTAGGACTCGTTCTATGCCACCTACTGTGCGAAGTGCCTTAAAAATCCTCACTCGTGGGGCGCCTGGGTGGCTCAGTGGGTTAAGCCTCTGCCTTCAGCTCAGGTCATGATCCCAGTGTCCTGGGATCGAGCCCCGCATCGGGCTCTCCGCTCCGCAGGGAGCCTGCCTCCACCTCTCTCTCTCTGCCTGCCTCTCTGCCTACTTGTGATCTCTGTCTGTCAAATAAATAAATAAAATCTTTAAAAAAAAAAAAATCCTCACTTGTGTGATTCTCCCAGTAATCCCATGAGGTCAATAGTCCTGGAGAGGTAAAGGAATTTGTCCAAGGTCACACACCTGGTAATGACAGACCTGAGCATCAACTCGAAGAGTCTCTCCATGAATCCACAATCTTTTACAACTCTCACTGCCATCTGTAGCCTATATATAGGTTACTGTATATATATATATATATTTTTTAAAGATTTTATTTATTTATTTGGCAGAGAGAGAGAGAGAGACAGACAGAGATCACAAGTAAGCAGAGAGGCAGGCAGAGAGAGAGGGGGAAGCAGGCTCCCTGCTGAGCAGAGAGCCCAATGTAGGGCTTGATCCCAGGACCTCAAGATGAGGACCTGAGCCGAAGGCAGAGGCTTAACCCACTGAGCCACCCTGGCGCCCCAGGTTACTGTACGTATTAGCTCCTGAAATACGTTGCAGAGATCACCACC